ATAATGCAAAATATTTTCAGGGGGACCATAATTCATGGCTAAAGGGTCATAGCTTTATGATGGATTGGGTTTTCAGAAGTGGCTGAGAAAACCTAAGACTAGCCCCAGCAAGTTGACCACAAGTTTGAAATATGCAAATAGCTCAAGTCAAGCTCATTATAAATGGTGGCAGTCCACATCGCCACAAGCCCACCCCAACAATTTACAGGCTGGGCTAGGCTGCCAGAAACCAAGCTATGATTTATCGTTCCCTTCAAATTAATAAAAGTGATGCCATCCATTGTGAATTCTAGAATTTACCCATGTGGGAAAGAGCTGATGTTTCAAAATGGGCATGTATGTTACTGTTTTGAAACCGTATTCTTTCAACTTAATTTGCAGCCATGAGGGAAGCCTCTGCTTTCACCCAAGTTACCTAAGGAACAGCCAAAACCTGTACGAGGGATATGTCTCTACTCTATTAGCTCAAATCCACTTAAAACTTCTCAAGATAGACCATCAGCATAGACCATCTCAAGATAGACCATCCTTGGCCCAAAGCTAAGCAGAGTCAGGGATTTCTCCAACTCTCTCATTTTACAGATGAGAAAACTGAGGCCACAGGTCAAAGCGCCAGGCCCAACCCCCCTCCACAAAGGCAGCAACCTTGCTGGAAGCACAGCTGAGGTTTCCTAAGCACTGGCCACCAGCCTGAGATCAGAGGCCACTCTGACCACAGCTAGATTTAGTTTGTTTAAGCTTTAATTAAAAGTTGAAAAATTATAAGGTTTGGCATGCCATGCCAAGTTACTGGCTTCTCTTAAAACCCCTGGATATCTGGCAATTATGGATCCAAATTCCTGCCTGGCCTCACTCTGCAGAGCTGGGGAGTGGCTCCCCATGGCAAAGGGCATGGGGTATGTAGGGGACCGTAATCCCCCAAAAGGCCCCTTTCTTTGTTGCCAATGTGGTCCTAGAGATCTTAAAATTTGCTATCTTTCCTCTGCATCATACTCAACTGGGTTAAATATATGATATATATGTATGTAGTGAAGAAGAGTAGTGTTTTTTTTAAAGACATATAGGAGTATTTTAATGATGTCTTTGATGATCATAATTGGCTGACCTTAGGAGAGGAGGTATAAACCACAGGCACAAGGCCCTCTCTGTAGGCAGAGCAAGCAGAAAGCGGACACTCAGCAGAGGCGAGCTGGCTGGGAATGGGGCTGCCCGTTCCCACTGCCCAGAAAAGCAGACTCACTAGGGGTGCAGTGAGGGCCTGACCCCACTCGGCACTCAGCCCTGGTCCTGGCTTGCACTTCTCATGCACCGTTCTTGTGTAGCTTCCCAGCATCCTGAGCAGGCGTTTTGAAATGTAAACATGACCGTCCCACTCTTCTGCCTCACATCCACCTTGGGTCCCTCCCTCTGTGTCCAGACTGCACACCTGCCTTGCTGGCCTTGTCCATTTTACACGACTCCCTTCTTCACTCTCCGGCTCCAGCCACACCCCAGCTTCCTTCTGTGCCTGGAGCATTGGGGTGCTCCTGCCTAATGGGCTTTTCCCTTGTGATACTCCAACACCTGGTCCTTCTTGTCATTCTCTGGCTGCCCCATCTAGAGCACATTACCCTGAGATATTCTCTTCACTTATCCCTCTCTGAATTTACCTTGTTTATTTACTGCACGCTTGGCTGCCCAAAGCCTCCCAATGCTAGGCTGCAAGTTCCCTGAGAATGAGGGCCTTAGCTGCTTGTTCACTTTATTCTCTAGGCCTAGAAAGTGCCTGGCACATGTTTACCAGTTTACTGGTTGCAGAATAAACACGCTGTGCACTACGTTTGAGAGGTATCACAAATGACTTGAGCTGGAAGGAAAATCTCTGCCTTAACAAGATCCTGGATCCAGTTGAGACTTGGAGAGGAGGAAAGGCTACGCCTCTTTGGGCTCAGAGTCGTTAAGGGACTTCAGTTGACAGCGCATAGAGAATGAACTCAGTGGTGAAATCTTTATACTGTGCCCACTTACACTTTAAAACACTCTGCTGAGTGGTTGGTATTGCTCTGATTTCCATGTCGCTGTTCAATTTTAGAATCAAGGTTGAGGCTATGGATGAGCATTCAAAAAGTGCTTCAGTAACCTCAAATGAGGCGTGTGCGTGTGTGTGTGTGTGTGTGTGTGTGTGTGTGTGTGTGTGTGTGTGGTCCTGACTTCATCGTTATTAAACGATTGGCATAAAAGTGCTCTGAAACTAGAGATTCTAAACACGCGTGCGCATATAGCATTTTCAATTGCATTTGATGTTGTGAAGAGCAATTCTACGGCACTTCGGAATTCCTGAGAGCCACCCAGTGGCTCATGAGCTCTGTGGACAACAGGGAATGTAGGTCAATTAAGGCTCCTTTGAAACGTGGCCGTGTGGCCCTGCAACTCTTATTTAGAAAGGCCCAGCTGCAGGCCCACTGGTCCTTGACCGTCCTCAGACCCTGTGGTCTATGCGTCACAGCGAGTGGCATTTACAGATGAAAGAACAGAAAGAAGCTATAAAATGGCAAAGGAGCACGGTAGAAACATCCTCCCACGTGCACGCACCGCAGATACAGCAGAGAAAAGCCCAGCAGTATCTGCTGTGCTGTCACCTACTATAACAAGATTGATCTGTAGTGAAATAAAAGATAATGCAATCCAGAGGAAATAACTTCTGTTTCCTCTGAGAATGTCTGATGTTGTCAACTGCAAGCCTGCCTCCCTGCCAGGACCTGCCAGGGTACACAGCAGCCTGAACAGGCAGGGACTCCTCTGGGCAAAGTCCTCCCTCCCTCAACTGCCAAGAGCACACAATTGCAAAGCGGCATTTCCTCCAACCGCCCGGGACTCCTTGGCCAAGCCAAAGCCAGCAGGACCCCGGCGCCCACGGCGTGTTCAGGAAGGCAGAGCCACTCGCAGTCGCCACTGCATGGATGGGCTTCGGAAGACAACCCGGTGGCCTCTGTTCATTGGAAGCCACATAGTTTTCTGCTTGTTGATTTCTAGCACAATTCATCGCCCCCATCTTTCAAGTTAATGGCACAATTCCGGCCCAGAGTTTCAACCACAGAAGACATTTATGGAGATCACGGTTTTAGATTCTGTCTCTAAGACACGGAACATTTTGTCTCGGTCTGATATGACAGTCGCCGGCTGAACGTTTTACTGAGCGATATTTTTGTAAGCAGAATGGCCAGAAACAAAGGTACGAAGTGGGTACCAGCTGGCGAGCTCTCTGCCATCATTTCAGAGAATGCGTCCCTGCACGAAACGGTCCGATAAGGCCAGAGCCATGTAAATAATTCACAAAAGCGAGTTCAGTTCTCTCTGTTTGAAATCCTAGTAATATCTTGGAAGGGAGCTGCCGCCCACCTCGCTCAGGGTAATGGGTAGCTAGCGGATTCCGTCTGTGGCAGATGCTATTAAGTCTCGATAGCCAGTGATTTGTAGATGATTATAACTTTTGCTCTGCATATCATTGCTACTGACAGGCAAATCCCATCAATCGAATGGCATGACTGATTAAAAAACGAGGCAATCTTGACAAAAGGCAGTCTGGTAAGCCATTTTTTATGCCAATTACAACCGCCTTGAACGCTCACCATTGTGTTCAGAAAAGCCAGATCTGACTCGAGCCTCCCTCTTTCCGTGCCTGGGAGCTGCAGCACACACGTCCGGACTTTCCAAACTCATGCATTTTGTGTTTCAAGGGGAGAAACGCAATTCAGTGTAGAGTGGTGCTTGCATTCTAGCGCACAGAAAAAAAAACAGAATATTCTCCTCCCAGAGCGCCCCACTGACCCCCCAGTTCATCAAGGAAGGAACTCGCTGCAGCAACGGGCCCTGACGGCAGCGCTTTCGTTACACGAACAGTCGCGACACCTTTTCAATTTTGCTCATCTCTTAGTCTCTAGCCAAATGGAACTTATTACTTAGAGCTTGTTGGGATTTATGAATTATTTATAAAAGTAGGTCTATGACTCCAGACTCTTCAAAGAGAACACAACAGTATCCTCATTGTTACCCACTGCTGCGCCTCTATCAGAGAGAGTAGATACTCTCCCTAACGCAGGCTGCATGTTTGGGGTGAAATAACAGTTGCGAAAATACCAAGCCTGTAAGATTATTTGGAGGCTATTTGTGGAATGCCTGGATGTATTTTTAAACCAGTGTCTTTTATTCTAAGCCAGCCTTGGATTCCAGAAAGACGCAGCAGATGTGTGTTGTGTTACAAACATATTTCCCAGCTTGAATATAAACAGTGATGCCCTGCCACTTTTACCCAGTAGTGTCAAGCTGTGATAAAAAGACAATTCCCTCTTAATGTGTATCTAGAATGTTCAACAAGGAGGCTCTGACCCATGAGTCTCTTTCCCAGAGCACAGTGGCTGTGCATCCTAAGCAGAGACTAAAACACGGGCCAGAAGACTTGATGTGAGGTTAGGATTTTGTCCCCAATTCCCTGGAACACGTGACCTTGCTGGTAAACCAGATGACACTACACACCCTCCCCTGGCCCTGTCTCAGTCCCAGCTGGAGAGGCTGTGGGGCACAGCCAGGTTGAAGGGCACAGAGTGGCCGGCCAGCCAGGGCCTTGCCCACACCTCCACGGCAGCAACACGCTTGCTTGGCAAAGAAACCTCCACTGGCACTGATGTGGACATCCCTGACCAAAGCAGCAGCTGGCCCTGGCACAGGAGCCCCGAGGGTCAGGCACCTTCCACCCGATTCCCCTCCGGAGACACCTGCATCCCTGCCCCTGCCGGGGCCCAGCCACTGACCCCTCCCCCATCATCTCTGCCCCACCTGCCCAGTTTCCACCCTGCCACCAAGTGTGGTCCAGAGGAAGAAGCAGAGGCTGGACAGGCCATTGTCCTCATGGTGCCCCCTAACGTCCGCATGACACCCACAGAGACCTCTCTGCACACAACAATACCCTTGTTCCCCAAAGAACACAGCCAACGAGAAAGCAGGCAAGAGACGGTGAAACTTACCTTGCTGAAAAACATCTGCCAGGAGAGACGAAAAATCGGGGAGGGGAAGGAGAGAGAGAGAGGAGAAAAAAAATATTAACATCGATGTTGAAAAGGACAATGTAATAATCATAGCCAATACATAGTAACAGTATTAAGCATTCTTGGTACAATATTTCCTTTAACTCAGGAGACAGTGGTTAAGAGCTCAGGCTCTGGAATGAGCCTGACTAGGTTACTACCTCTGTGACTTACAGTTCTCTAAACCATAAAATAGCTAGAAGTATTGGAAAGATTAAATATATTGTCAGACATTTTAAGGGCTCAGAACAGTGCCCAGCACACAGTAAACAGAAAAACTTGTGGTTATTATTAATAAATATTAATTTTATTATTTCTGCAACCACCTTATAGGTTCAATTATCATTCTCATTTTATAGACAGGGAAACTGAGGCTCCAGAAAATTAAGTAACTTATCCAAGAGCACAGAGGAGCAAGCATGGTCAAAGCCTGTTAGAATGGAGAAAAAATATTAATGTATTTTTCTTCAACAAAGATTTGAGAGGCTACTATACACAAGCACACTGTCTGGGACTAGAACGCACACATCTAGTGAAAACCATAAACGAGCAGTCACTGACACCTACCCCTCCCATTGGTGCCCACTAGCATGACTTCTAACATCATAAATGCATTTTGCCTGGTTTGGAATTCTGTATGACTGGACTGGTACAGCATGGGTTTTTTTCTGTCTGGACTCTTTTGGAGTCCTCCATGCTGTAGCACATAGCACACTATCCATTCTTACTGCTTTGTAGTATTCCACTGTGTGATTACACAGTAGTTTATTTCTCCATTCTAATGTTGGTGGATATTTGGGTCGTCCTCAGTATCTGGAGATTAGGAGTTGTGATGAGCATTCTCGTACATCTTTTGGTAAACATATGTACATGTGCCAGGCACTTCTTGACATCTCCCACATGCATTCAGGCTCCCTCTGCTTGTACCGCCCCCCCAATCACCCCAAAAGTATTCTCATGTGCTCATTCTTTCTCTCTCAGTAAGTTAAAGACAGAGCGAGCACTGGCGAAAGACACAGAGAGAGCCTCACAGGTGTGAGTGGTTCCTGCCCTGATGGTAGGGTTGTAAAATGGCACGAAACTTCTAGAAAACATTTTGACAGTATACACAGAAATGTTAAACATTCACTGCTTGACCCAATGATACCACTTCTAAGACTTTAATGAAATAACTAAAAGTTATAGAAGAAGTCTACAAGGATGTTCATCATGGTATTGTTTACAATGGCAAAACACTGGATATTCCAACACACTAGACTCAAAACAAAAATAATATATTCTATACAATGGATTATTTAAGGACTTTGATTACTTTTAAATAAAACTACAGATAGGCTGGGTGTGGTGGTTCATGCATGTAATCCTAGGACTCTGGGAGGTCAGGGAGGGAGGACTGCTTGAGCTCAGGAGTTTGAGACCAGCCTGAGCAAGAGTTAGACCCTGTTACTACAAAAAAATAGAAAAATTAGCCAGGTGTCATAGCATGCATCTGTAGTCCCAGCTACTTGGGAGGCTGAGGCAGGAGGATAGCTTGTGCCCAGGAGGTTGAGGTTGCAGTGAGCTATGATCAGGCCACTGCACTCTACCTGGGATGACACAGTGAGACTCTGTCTCAAAAAAAAAAAAAAAAAAATCAGATAAACAAAAGGGAACACATAATCCTGAGCCCATTTAAGTGCCTGTGTGCGTGTATATGGCTACATGAAGAGAGATCTGTGATGATGATTACAGAAATGTCATTTATCTGCAGGAGATGGAATTTGGGGTCTTTTTTTATATATAAGTGTTTCTGTATTGCTTGAGTTTTAAACAACGAACACATCTTACATTACAATCTAAATTTTAAAACTAAAGTTACTGTCATCATTGCTCTCAGTTGATACAGAAACATCAGCTCCTACAAGGTCACAAAGGGTACGTGAATGGTGTGGATGAGACATACACCTGGTGGGTTAACGGACTGCAAGAAGAGACCTATGGTGGCAGTTTTATTCCACTTGGGCACACCTGACCTTCATGAGGAGTGTCACTGATATCCATACACAGACTCCCAAGGGCACATCCAGGCCTGCGGCCCTGGCACAGCTAAAGCAGAGTGTACCCTCACAGTTCCCAGGGCGTTGGCTAAAGGACCACCATGTCTTTCACACTCAAGAAAGCCAAGTGGGATGTAAATAGGCCATACCAGTGCCATTACAGGACAACCTTGACACTGCTCTAATTTGTACCTGCTCTACGGAGTCTCTAACCTCAATAATTCATCATTAGTACAAATTCGGAGCCAGCAGTGTGTGGGATGCCACTGCCTAGAGACTGTGAGAAGGACCGTGTGCAGCTTCCTAAATATACCACTTTCACACATGTTTGCTTCCTGGAACCCACAGTCTGAACCACCCACCCCTCTGACCAGCCTGCACACCTGGAGGAGTCCTCCTACTCAGGCTTCAAATGTCACAGCCCCTGTTGAAGTCTGTCCCCACAGAGAGGGAATTCACTTTCTGCCTCTGTGCTCCTGGAGTAATTTGTGCATGTTGCAATTATAGCTCATATTATAATGAGTTATTTATGTAGATCATGAGCTCCTGAGGACAAGAGCAATGTGTCTTAATCACTTTTGTGGGTCCTAACTGCCTGGCATGGTATGCCCCCACCCAGGAGGGAGGGAAAGAGGGGTGGTCTCTCTTAGCACTCATCTGGTCCAACCCCCTCATTTTACAGATGAGGAAACTGAGTCCCAGACAATTAGAAGATTTTTCTCAAGGTCACACGTGGAGTTAAAGGCTGAGCCAGGACAACAGAGATTCATTTAACCTTAACGAAACACAAAAGCTCCTCACTGTTATTAGCAAAGTACAAATTAGAGATTTATCACTCCCCTCTAATGAATACAGACAAAAATTTCCAACCTTGAAAACATCCACAAAATAAAATCAGTCTTTGAATTACGGATCCAGTCTCGACATCTGTCCAGAATCCTCAACCTCATCTCTATGGCTTTTGACAAGGAGCACTTCCTTTGAGAGTCAGCGCTGACTTGCACCACTGTGAAGTATCAGTGGACAGGGAGGAAGGAAATTCAGGCAGGGATTTAGTGACCTTATCCCTCCCCATTTCATTGTATATTTCACGCTTTAGCAGACAAATCTGCATAGAGAACTGTTCATATCATCTATTCCAAAAACTCGTATAGGTTATTTTTTATTTTTTTCCAAAAACTCCTTTTCGGTCCCATTTACATTTTGCACCTTTTTATTCAAATGTAAATTTTAATAAACACTAGTATAAATATTGCAACAATTTTGCACATGAGCTATCTTGTAATTTACACTCTAAATTTATGTCTTTCGTGGTCTGTGCTATAAATCATTCCATTCTTAGTGCCATTTATCTTTTTACTCTGTATAATAATGGCTTAGGTACCTTCTTTAGAACATCACTTTTCCAGACTGAAACAGCTATCCAGGCTCAGGCTCAAATGATTCACGGACAGAAGAATGGGAAAATAAGTGAGAGGAAGTAGTTTCTGTGCTGTCTGGCTACATTTTACCCCACAAAAAAACTGTGCACATCGGAAGATATTAGCCATGGAAATGCTCTTGCCACCCTCTACTCTGGTGTTCCTGAGTCCCGACCCTACAGAGTGGCCACTTGCAAAAATCAAAGGGCCTCAAATTTAATGCGATATTCTCCTTTTGGTCTAACCAACCACAACGAATTATTCAGGAGTCAATCGCCTACAACAGCGGTCCCCAACCATTTTGGCACCAGGGACCAGTTTCATGGAAAGCAATTTTTCCATGGACCAGGGGGAAGGGGGCATGGTTTCAGGTTAATTCAAGTGCATTACATTTATTGTGCACTTTATTTCTATTATTGTTACATTGTCACTTGCCACTTACTGATAGCATTTTGATATGAGTCTGCAAGCAATTGATTTATTATGGTCTCTGTGCAGACAAACCTCTCTGCTAATGCTAATCGGTATTTGCAGCTGCTCCCCAGCGCTAGCATCACCGCCTCAGCTCCACCTCAGATCCTCAGGCATTAGATTCTCATAAGGAGCGCACAGCCTAGATCCCTTGTGTGCACAGTTTACAGTAGGGTTCATGCTCCTATGAGAATCCAATGCCACTGCTGATCTGAGAGGAGGTGTACCTCAGGTAGTGATGAGCGCAATGGGGAGCAGCTATAAATTCAGATATAACTTCCTCGCTCATCCACCACTCACCACCTGCTGTGCGACTCAATTCCTAACAGGCCACCAACTGGTATGGTCCATGGCCTAGGCATTAGGACCACATATCTACACACTCCGAGCTTGGCTTTCCTTGTTAACAACCTAGACATTCGAATACCCACGCTATGGTGTTGGGAAGGTAAAGTTCGATAATTTACACAAACATTTTCCCATCCCATCTGCTGATCTGAGAATAGGACTCAGGGCCATCTTTTCTGCTCTCACAGGAACTAGAAATCATGCAAGTACAGAGTTGGAAGTCACCAGTGACCACTGTAGCCACAATCAGGTTGAGCCCAAAGACACCAGGGACACTTGTGCAGAGGAAATGAACTGCTTCAGACAAAGCTCTGCTCATACTCACTTCCCCAAGGAGAAAACCTCAACTGCAATCATTTACATGAACAAAGAAATGCCTGTTCTCCGGCCCCCACCCCCAGTCCCTGGAGCCATTCTGGTCCTATAGATAGATGAAAGGGCATGCATGAGCCGGCGATTCACATGTGGGAAGAAGAAAATAATAACGAAGGAATGCACTCAGATTTGCCTTGCTCAGCCCTGATGTCCAATTGCTTCAGTGAAGAATGAACACCAAGGATCCCTGCCCCTGCCCCCACAGCTACAGAGAGATTCACACCCTAGAGATCGTTAATGCACTGAGTCCTCTAGAGACAGGGGCCATAAAAATACTAGATTATTTATTATTATTAATAAGTTA